ACGGAGCAGGAGGCAATCTACAGACCCCACTTTTCAGGCAGGAAAAGTGGCCATGTGTGCAAATAGTGGGTGATCCACAAAGACAGGAAGCCTTGAGTCCAGTCTCATGGCCAAGTAGTAAGTATGACTTCTGGAGTGGAGGCAGAGGTGACCAAAAGACCAGGGAAAGGCTACTTGAGCCACAGAACCCTCCCTGTCCTCCCCATTGCAGGCCATGGCTCACACTCAGCTCCTACACTCCTAGAGCCCGAACGGGTCATGTGCAGGTCAGGTAAATAGGACCCATTGTATTCACTGTCGTCTTCCCACATTTGAGGATGAGCAAGGCAGTTTTCTTCCCACCTAAGGGGGTTGATTAAAACTTAATATTTGACCTGGGGCAGAAGGGAGCAGCCTAAGGCAGGGTTGTGCAGCTGGTCTTTCCCAGTCAGTGCTGACTGCTGATGAGCAGAGTAAGACTCCTTTTCCTGGTGTTCCGTTTGTTCATTTCCCAGTATTTCCCAGTATACCTTCTAAGCCTTGGGCACAGAGAGTGGAACAAGACCCAGTTCCTTCCCTCATGGGACTCACAGTCTAACTGAGATAAACCCAAAGCATGGTTAGGTTCTTCAAAGAGACTGAAAATTCCTGCGTGGGTCAGTGTAACTGCTGGGAGAGTAATGTGACTAAGACCACAGAGGAAATGGTGGATGTCGCACTAGGAGAGCTGGTGCCTTGTACCAGGAGAGCCACCATTTGTTGAGGATGTCAAGACTGTCTCCAGCCCAGGGTGGCACATGAAGGATAGTCAAAGTGACGGCCATCAGTTTCTTTTCACTTCCTTTTTGTTCTTCCACCCAAAAGGTGGAGTCATGCCCTTGGGTGACCCCCTGGTCGGCAGATGACAGCATCTTCTGTCTTGTTCAGTGAAGTGGGAGACTGTTAGCAAGAGAGAAGATAAATAAGGATGAGGATGTCCTTTAAGGTTATGAAAACGGGGGCTGGTGGCTGGTGGAGTGGCTCAAGTGGTAGAGTGCCTACCTAGCAAGCGTGAGTCCCAGAATTCAAACCCCAAAACCACCCAAAAAAGAGCTGTGAAATAGTACCTTTTAGGATACCATCTGACAAGTACAGCCACAGCACAGGTCACCAGCTCTTCGTCTTAGAATTTCCTTCTGTGGTGGCTCCATTGTCTTGGACTGCCCCAGAATCAGTCTCCCTGCATTTCTTCCTCCTTCAGCTGAGCCTGCTACAGCCCAGCTGGGCTTCAGATTGAAGTGCCAGTAGAAGAAAATAAGTGCCCCCACAACACACCCCAAACACCCCTGGCTAAGGAGTGCTTGCTAAGCCCCAGCCATGAGAAGATGCTGACAGTCTGAGAACTTGGAAATGCAGGACCCACCTGGACTCAGATGAATGGCTTGGTTTCCCTACTCTGGACCTCATGACCTCATGATGGATAGCTGTGTGGCCATCACTGACAGGGCCACCAGAATCACCAAGCTTTCTGGAATTCCTTCATAGAAGAGGCTTTATCTAAATGATCTAAACATGAAATGATGTGTTTTTTTTTTTTTTTAAAGACTTGTTTTTGCCTACCTGAGGCCCACTGTCTCTCTTAAACCTGGATCTTGCATTTTCATGGCACTGGCTGTGTTAATGACAGCTTTGTTGACTGCTGAGGGCAGAGACCCACCAGATAGGGCAGAGTGGACAGGGTGACCTCTTCCCAATGAGACACTGAAAAGTGGGAAAGTGTCTCCTCTCTCTGTCTTGGCTGGGGCCAGACTGATGAAGTGGTGGCTGCAGCTCACTCTGCATTTGCTGAGGGGACGGACCACAGCCACTTTTTGTCACCCTCCCATAGGGGCCTCCCTGTGGGCGTATGTTCAAGCTGAGGCTTTCAATAGACTCAAGCATGAGACCTTTATGTGATAAGGTCCCCTTCTATCCTTGTTCACAAATTGATTAAGCCAACAGCAGCCACAAGACTTTAGATGGCCTTCCGCGCCTAGGGACCTGCGCTGTAGCCATAGCGAGAGGAATGGTGACAGGAGGGGAGGTGTTCCTAGCTGGGCTCCGCAGGCTGCCAAAGGTGTCTGCTGGTTATTTGAAGGAAGGATTGTATCTTTAACCATGCCTGCTTCTGAGTCCTCCAGCCAGCCAGAGCTGTCACAGCAAAATCCATGCTTTCTGTCTTCTGGCCCTGATATATTAAAATGCACTCCTTGTGTGTAAAATTAAGCTACATATAATGCAAATGAAAGTGCAATTAATATTTCATTGGAATTATAAAATAAGAACACTTTGGCCTCCTAAGAAAAGAGCAGTGTCCTTGCCCAGGGCCTGCACCTCAGGCTGAGGCTATTACAGTAAAAAGTACTTTTGAGTCCTGCACCTGTGACACACGGCTCAGCCAGGAGAGCCCCAGGTCCTTGGGGCAGCCACTTGTAGGACCATTTGGGAGGAAGCTAGCAAGATCTCACGTTCTGGGAGAAGCTTCTAGAGAACAAGGTGAGGTGCAGACAGGATTAACTGGGGTTTGTCATCTGCCTTACAAGTACTTAAGAGCCAGTTAAGTCATTTTAGATCTCCCGACTGAGTAGATTTTACTCAGATGGAGAGCTGTTCTTTCAAAAGTGCTAAATTGTAGCCTGGTGTCCTTCCTTCTCCCGGTGGAGGGCGGGTGGTGTGTGTGTGTACAGGTCTGCCAAAGTCGTCTTCTCCGTCAGCGTACTGCTCTATGTTCCACATTTGTTGTTATGAATGTAGGAAGTGCTCTTTACAGACTTTAAAATTCACACCCATCTTCTGCGTTAAGGATTAGTCCGTTTTACAGGTGAAGATTTAGACAGGTTAGGAAGCTTTTTTAAGATCACCCAGCTCATAGAGGACATTGGATTCAAATCAGCCTGATTCCAAAGTCAGAGTTTTTAATCACTGAACCACTTAATTTATAGTGAGTCTCTGCCGGACCCCTCGCCCTGATGGTTTGTGCTGTTACTTCAGGCTGTTGTGTGCCCACTGGCCTGTACTTAGCAGCTTTTGGGCACATCTTCTGAGCCTCTGACTGCACATGCCCACACCAAGATGGCTGGCTCCCAACCTTCCTTACAAAGGACCAGTACAGCCCCGCCAGCTGCCTTCCCTTTCCACGTGCCCCGCACTGCTGCTGCTCCTGCAGCTTCCCTGTGCTGATCACATTTCCCTAACTCTGTGTGCTGCCACCCCAGCTCCCACACCTAGGCCTGTGGACCCGTGGTACATGGTATCACGAGCTACAGGGTTGGAAAGACTTATTTCCAGACAGGGAGCATGTGAGTGGGTTCCCTCTAGTCCAGCCCGCCTAGCAAGTCCCTGGAGGCCCTCTGAATGGGATGGTGAGATGGCGTGGGGACAGTTAGACTCCAAGCCACATGAGCAGGGACCTGCTAAGCCCAGTCAGGACAGTGCCGTCCTTGGATGAAGACAACTATGAAAGTTGTACTCTGTGACTTTGAGCACTGTTCTCAACCTTCCTTCAGACCGCATACTGCCACAGATCCAGGCATGGGCCTTGGGTCCTTTGCTGAGATAAACCCAGAAAATTCCAGTCAAGGTAGGAAAAGCAACAGAACTGCAGGCCAAGACTCATTTATGAGGATAAAACCACTGTCCTGAGATTTCTGAAAAACAGGACTTTTTGGTGTATGATTTCACACTTTTGATAATATTTTACAGAGGAAAGTTCTTTCCTCCACAAAGAATAAATCCGTCCTTCTCTGACGGCACCATGAAGGGGAAATGAAGGAGTGTGAAGATTTTTGTACCCAGACTTTTGTTGGGTAAAATTTGAGGTCCCGGCTTCCCTTACGAGAAGCTCCTGCTGGGGAGGGGGTGTGGGGCCAGGCCTATGGGTGGCTGGAGAGACACTGCCTGTGAAAATTTTGTGCCTCAGTTGCCTTCCCTAGTCCAACCCCACGTGACACCAGGCAGGAGAAACAGCTCTCCACTGCTGGAGAGCAGCTATTCGGTGAGCAGCAATGCTGTGAGGAACAGAAAAAGAGATACTTGCTGTGACAGGTGAAGGAAGTGACACCAAAATGGAAGCAGAGCTTGCTGGTGTCACCCAGGCTGAGCAGGCTGAGCACACTTAAAAGCATCCAGACAGAAAATTCTTACCAAGTTCATGGCTTGTTTCTAAAATACACAGCTCTGCCCCCAGGCATGCAGTTGGTTATTGGCAAATATCAAGAAACAGCCTCTTCGTGGGTTTAGGTTAATATGTGGTCTCCTTCAAGCCTCCCGTCTCTTGCATTTAAGCAGGTTGCGATCACATGGCTCTGCGTGAGTTCCCTTAAACCAGGGGTTGGCAAACGCTGCAAAAAGCCAGAATGAAGGACCTCTCAACCCTGATGTTTCAACACTCGAACAGTCATACACAATTTATAAACAAATAGGTGTGCATACGTTCCAATAAAACTTTATTTATAAAGCCACATTTGGCCCTTAGTTTGCCAACCTCTGCCTTAGACCAAAAGGGTCTCACTACAGTAGAACCCTGTGCAAAGAAACAGCAGCAAGTTAACTTGCTTTTCTAGAAGAGAAATTATTAGTGGACTCATATTCCAACTTGTACAAAAGTGGCTAAAAATATTTAACACTTTTTTTTTTTTTTGGTGTAGTACTGGGAATTGAACCCAGGGCCTCACGCATGCTAGACAAACACTACCACTCCCAGCTCTTTTGTTTGTATTTCGATTTTGAGATAGGGTCTCATGCTAACTTTGCTTAGGCTGGCCTCTGTCTTGCCTCTGCCTCCCAACAGCTGAGATTATAGGTGTGAACTACTATGCCCAGCTATACAGTAATATTTCTTAGGTCAGATTAGTTGCACAAACAGTCCCTCACACTTTCTATTGCAGTGTGCCACTGCCCAAAGCAAGCAAAGCAAGAAGCTATTTTGCTCTCAACAGATGAGAGCAGGCAGTACAAGGTGCAGAGCCATGGAAGCTTTACCTATTTTCTCTTCTGTCCCACAGGCCTGTTCCTTATCCTTGGTTTGATACTCTATCCTGCTGGCTGGGGCTGCCAGAAAGCCATAGACTACTGTGGACATTATGCATCTGCCTACAAACCCGGAGACTGCTCCCTGGGCTGGGCCTTTTACACAGCCATCGGTGGCACAGTCCTCACCTTCATCTGTGCCGTCTTCTCTGCACAAGCGGAAATCGCAACCTCCAGTGACAAAGTACAGGAAGAAATCGAAGAGGGGAAAAACCTTATCTGCCTTCTTTAGTTTGGAAGAGGCACTGATGTCATCTTCTTCCTTGTGTAATCATGTGAAACAGTCCTGATCATTTGAAGCAAGTGGAGAACTAGCCTTTACCTACCAAAGCCACACTCCACGGCCCAGGCCTCGGTAGGACCCATGACGGACACCATCCGGCTAGGCACAGTTACTGGACGTGAGGGGCGCGGTGAGCACAAGCAGAGGACGTAACCCTGACTGCCGTGTGGTTCCCGCCAGACTCCATCTCCCCCGGGGCCTAGTGACGGGTGGCATGTGACCTGTGAAGGCAGCCCTTCCTTCCTCTGCCACAGAGGAGGCGTTAGCCAGTGTCGCGGGCTGTGTGCGATGCGTTTCTGCCCCAAAGCTGCATACCTGTGGGCAGCTGTGTCTCACCGTGAGGTCTGGGGTTGTGTTTTGGCTTTTTTAATAGTTCTTTCAAGTTGTCTCCATTAAATACTAAAAGGAAGACTACACACAGACTTACTGGGGACAGGTTGTGTGCTAAAGGACACAGCAAGACACCATCTGTTGCTTGGCTTACTGAAGCGGTCAGCAGGGACTGTTAGGATCCTGCTGTGGAACTTGTTCTAGGTTGAATTCCGGGGCAAGACGGATCAACAACTACCACTCCAAGATTCTAGAAATGTTTAAGAAAGATGAAGGACCTGCGTAATCATGAGAAAAAAAGTACAAAACTTTGCCAGTGTAGACAGCCTTTCCTCCTCCCAGAAGCCAGGCTGCTGTCCAAACGGCCAGGTCTCTTCCTCGGTGATCACAGTTTTCTCCTAAGGTTAGGATTGTGCTTTGAGTGCCAAAGGAAACCTTACCATTTCCTCCATTCAGGGACAGCTGTCTCCAAACCAGCTGTGACTCCTGCAGATGTTCACTGGGGGGAACTGCCAGAACCTCGCTGGCATTTGGGGGAGAACTTTTCGGTCAGCCGGTTTCCAACGCCATCGGCAGCAGAATGGTGCTTTTTACAGAAAAAAACCCGAGCTAATCATGGAAGCTTGAGTTACTGGTGTTGATCCTGAAATAACATTAAATTGCTGAAACGTTGCATCAACGTCTTATCTCCAAGACGGCACAGAGTAGAAAGTTAATGAGAAAAACCCGGGAGCTAGATCGGGCTCACCACCTGCCCACACAAACAGTCAGGTGCCACTGCTAGAAAGGATTCAGGGCTTTTAAGCAGCCATAAATTACCAATATAATCGATTCAGAAAGATGGCAATCAGAATGACCAAAGCAGCCAGAAACAACTTAGTCTGGCATATGTAAACTTCAAGAATTGTAGAATGGTACAGAAACACTCCTTAGCGAGTTAAGCAAGTGGAGTTGACCTGCCAGATTTCTGGCTGGCTTTATGAATGTGCTCGTTTGAGGGCTTTGTCTTGAAAGTGTAACAAAATAGTTACTAAGCACTTTCTACTGGCAGATATTATGTGCTAAGTACCAAGTATGCAACTCCGAGTCTGATTTTAAAACCCTCCCACAGGAAATTATCTTAGAACTGTGTCAGTTTAGAACTATGCTTGGTACAGAACAAATGCTTTATATATATAAATGGCAACTAAGTTTTATTACATTTTGTTTGGCCTTTGGCCTATACCAGAAACTCTCTGTCTCTCTCATAGATGAAAGGCAAGAGGGATGCTGAACCACAACTTAATATGCTCACCATTTTTGAATCAAAGTTCAAAGTAAGCAAGGTAGAAATCCTATGGCCTTTTGCAAAGAGGGAAGGGCAAACAGGTATCCTAAGCAACCTAGGGAAGGCTCAGGAAACATTAACCCCATCTCTTAAGCACATGAAAAGCTGTGGGAGGCAATGGATACAGCTCCTAACCCTGATTGCCGACTTACAATGTTCTAACCAAGTCCTTCTGCCAGCATAGTAACTATTTTTCCCGCCTGGGCAATACTTTGCATTACAAACAACTTCATTCTTCAGACAAATCTTGGTATTTTTTTTTCTAAGACAGCAAATCCATTTTCTGACACTAATTTTACAATCTGTCATCTCCTTCCTTGCAGAGGATCCTCTGAACATGTCCACCATTTGTTCTTTGGCTAGGTGGTAATGCACCCCTAGATCAACTGGTAACAGTCACAAGTGAAAATGGGATCTCTTGGCCACAGGAGTCTCTCCACAGTGTTTATTAATTGGAATGTTATAGAAGAGCAAAGAAGGCACATGCACAAACAGAACACCAAACCACTAAGCATTACCTACACACTGACCTAATCGAACAGCAGAGATCAGATTTTCCAGCAGAGACAGTCAAAAGGTAATATTGGGTCTTTTAAACCTTTAGTCCGTTGGACAGACTTTTCTTTGGAGTGAAAGGACCATCTTAAATCATGCTAGTCTAGACCAAAACTCTTTTGCACAGCTCTTTAAAGACCACTTGTTGACCCACACCTATTTTTCTAATAAATAGAGGCATCACTGCTACCAGAAAAGTCTTATTTATTTTGCCTGCATTTGTGCTTAAAGTTTTGTGATAGGCTGGGCTTCTCAATGAACTCGAAAGCAGAAGTATTTGCCCTGGAATCTGTGGATTCTTTAAACCTGTGTGCTAATTCAACAATGTTCCATTAAATGTGTAAGGGTTTTTGTATAGTTTTCAAACATCTGTGGTGTAATGAATGATCTTTGTTAAACATGTATTCTGTAAAGTGCCATAGTCTTTTTTTATGTGTAGCATATTTAAATATATATATATAAAATACATACACAGGTTTGTGTGAAAGATGTGCAATAACAAAAGGTGTATGTATGTTTGGTTTTTTGGAAACTGGACAGGAGTCAAAACAGGGATGTTTCCATTTTGGCAAAGGAGAGTTACACATTTTTGCCTTCATGGCCTATTCATTAGCTCATAACAATTTTAGTGCTACACAACTCTTATGTGAAGACAAGACTGGTATGAAATCATGTTCTCCTGGGTCAAAATTAAAATAATCACTATATTTATGTGAAAGTTAAGCCAGCAAGCCAGGCCCAGTTACTGCTAGTCTTTCATGTGAAATGTGAAGCTGTGGTGTTGCCTTTTCTGTTGGTAGCTGGTACATACTCACTAAGGAGCTATTTCTTAGCATGCTTTTGCAGACCATGTTAATGCTAGACCACTATTTAAGGGCTAATCTCACACCTTCTTAGCCATAAGAGTCTGGCTTAGAACAGACGTCTCTGTGCAATAACACATGGCCACTGGAAATCCCTGGCCTCCGTTCGCGTTTGGGTAGCAGTGACTCCCAAGGGCAAAAAGAGTTAAAGTGATGACTGGGATTTCTTCTGAGACTGTGGTGAAGTCCTTCCAAGGCTGAGGGGGTCATTTGGTGCAGTGGAGGAACTTGGCACCACTTGATATTCAACAGCCACTTGAGCCAAATATAAAATTGTATTTACAGCTGATGGACTCAGTTTGAGCCTTCAAATTCATGGTTATCCTGTTAGATTGTAAACTAATACATTGTTTGTCTAGCATTGATTAGGTTTCTGTGCATATGTATTTTCTCAATGTGCTCCCCTTTCCTGCCCTCCCCAGATCGGAATTAAACCAGATTTTGCAAACTCACTCACTCTTACTCTGTCAAGTTTGAGTTGTCTTGGCTTCAGTATCATTCATGAAATTTGATCAAGAAAATAACTGAGACAAAATTTATTTTAAGCACTAACTTGTAATATTGGTGACAGGCTAAAAGATAATCATCAATTTTCAACTATGACATTACCAGTAACACACGTCTACCACAGTCATCTTTAATTTCAGCATCAATATAACAATAAACCAGGGATAAAACCTCATGTGCTACACAAATCTCTTAATTTTAAAGTAAAGCTGTGAGATAGGAAATGCCTCAAAGCATTCCTTTACATTTGTGATAGGGAACAAGCTTAACTAAAAAACACATTCTCCTCTTCCAAGAAAAATACCAAAAGTAAAAGCCAGTCAGAACCATTCGACGTCCACCTTTCCTGAAGGCAATCAATCCTGCGCAGGAAGCCTCACACGGATAGTTAGGTTTTTAATTTATGATTATGACACTAAATAGCCTTTTCATAAACTCATTCATATCCCATAAAGCACTTACTGTCTGAAAGAAACAAAAATGGCTACTTCCCCTGATCTAGGGTTTATGACAGCTGAAAGTATATTATGCTTTGGTTTCTGAACATACATGACACCTGCAGGTTCCTAAATAGAAATCATAGTTAAAAGCTGGCAAAATTACCGAAGTCATTAAAGTTTTCAAACGAATCATGATCCAAATAGCTCAAGCAAAACTGGAAAATTTCAGTTGCTTTTTCAGGCATTATTACATCTTTCTCAAAAGTTAATCCACAAGAGAAAGAACTGTGACTAAAATTTCAGCAGAGGGTGGGAAGTCCTTCCATGTGCCTTCTTAGCGTTTTACTGAGCAATTTCACTGCTAGATCAACTTTTTGTGCCTGATCCTCCTGGAACACCTATTTGACTTACTCTTTGATCCCTTTAAAGTCTTCGCTTAACAAAAACCCACTTAAAGAACACAATCTTTGTTACCCTGGGCATTTCTTTTAGTTGGGAATTATTTCAGTGGTGTCAAGTAAATCAATACCTTTTTTGACTCTTAAACCCCAAAGGATGAGGGCAGGGAAACAAGCATGGGGCTGCTCTTCATGGCAGCAAGAAACAAGAACTGTCCTCGCTTCAGAACCCTTCCCAGCAGCTTAGTCATGGGTGGGGCCCTCCCATTGCTGCCCGTAAGGCAGCACCACCTCCTTCCTTGCAGCTTCCTCTCCTTGCCCTGAAGAGTTCTAGAAAGTAAATCTTCAAGATGTGAGCTGTTCATTTTGCTTAGGTCCACAGGATACAGAAAAACACCCAAACAGATGAAGTAGCAAAACTAAAACCATGCAGGAAAGAATGTCAGTCAGACCCCAGGTATTAGCTGTGGTTTGGCTTTTTATAAATATCCTGAAAGATCTATCACCTACAGGTAAGTTGTCTCTAAAGACTACAGGGGAAAGACTGCAATTTGTTCATTTACTGCAGAGAAGCAAGCCCAGATCAAGGCAGTAAGCGGGAAGACCCTCAACAGGATGAGTTAGAGATGTCAGAGGAAAGAATGGGGAATGACAGGCTGGGCACTGAGCAGAGCCTGGAGTAAGGAGGAGAGTCCTTGCCAGGTATTTGATTCCAGGGAGAAGCAATGAGGGCAGGAGTGTGATACAGTCACCAAGACGAAGAATCCAGAAGGAGATGGGACAGTGGAGGCCACCACTGGAGAAGTCCTGTGTGCAGCTGAGAATAAGCCAGAGAGGAGATGAGGTAACTTGGGAATCATCAGTGTTCACGGAGAGATGAGAAGTGTTTCACTGAGTGTGCACAAGGTGCAGACACTGGCCACACCTCATAGAACACATTTATTCATCAGAACCTCACGAGGTAAAAACTGTGACTTCCTTATTTTATAGATAAGTAACTACCATTTATGTAAATGAAGTTAAGTCATTTGCTCTAGTATAGAAAGTACTAAGTAGCAAAGCCAAAAAAGCCCAGGTTTGACAAGACACCAAATAGCTCTGTTATTATGTAATCAGCAGGGGATGAAGGTGGCCAAGACAGTCCTGGAAAACATCAGTGCCGTGCAGAGAAAAACCTAGCAATTTTTCATAGTTTTGCAGGTGACAACTCATCAGTCCTGATTCAGCTCAATCCTGGAAACACACTAAAAATTCATCAGGCACATGAGAATGGTAAAATAAATGACAAGGTTAGATCGCTTTTACTGTTAGTATAAATAATCCCTCATTTGAGGAAAGCAGCTATTATGATCACACAGAAGTATGTTTAACCTAATAATTAAGGATTTGTCCTCAAGTGTCTCCAAAACATACAAATGCCCAGGATCGCTTGGTGCACAAATGCTGTCGAAGGTCAGGAAGCAAAAGCAGGTACTTCTCACCTGCATGTGTAGAGCTAGCCTTTTGTCTGGAGACTAATTTTTTTCTTGGTTATTGATTTTTTTTCTCATGTCCATTATCCCTAAAGGATGGACATAAATTCCTGGAAATATGGAAGTTTGGGAGAGAACAGAATGAGACAGAAGTAGCACTGCACAGCAGAAACAGTAGTCAGAAGACCTGGTTGTGCTGCTGCCTTTTGCCACCCGTCACTATCACTTACTGAGTGACCTTGGGGTAATTTCCTAGTTCTGTATAAAAGCAGGGCCAATAACAGAAATTACATCATAGATTTGGGATGAGGATTGAGTGGTGTACGTAACACATTTAGTGTAATCTAGGACACAGTAAG